TATTGCTGGAGGAGGGGATACCCAAGGATACCCTACCCTGTTTATTTGTTCTGGAATATGCATGATAATCTGTCTTGGTTCAATCCTGACCATGATCGTTCGGCTTTGACTTTGGGCGGTGTCGACTTCGCCGCAGTCCTGCCCACACATGATCATCACGAATTGATGTGGAGGGAAGTGGAGACCTGCTCCATCTCTCACACCGCCAAGCTATGTACTTACCAATCACGCAGCAGAAAGGGGCCACTACAGCCATCCACAGATTTCAGTATTCCAATTCAATGTGTAAATAGTAAGAACCATGCCATCGCACGACCCTCCATGTAAGTGCTTGAGTAAAAGTGATCGTCCCAGTCCAGACCGACAATTCCTATACCCATCGTCCACTCTCTATCAAAAACCGTTACCCACTACACTAAAAACTAAATTAAGGGGCCTTGAAGTCTAGGCCAAGATGGCGAAACCACTGGTGACGGCGACGAGGAGAGAAGCGCCGGAGAGCATGTTGAAGCTGAGCGCGCCGGAGCCTTGGGTGCCCGTCGCGTTCACGTTAGCCGCGCTCTGCGAGATGCCCGAGGGGGTGGCTCCATCTACACCCAAACACCCTCAATCAGTACCCTTACCCTCCCACCCTATATAGAGAAACCGAAAACGCACCAGTGAACGAAGCCCCACACTGCTGCTGCACCCCCATTCCATTCCCAAGGAACCCAGGCACATCAGTGTTAATAGTATTATACGCTGCCTTGATGCAGTTCGTGCAGGTGAGGTTGGCGGGGATGGTGGTGTTGGCGAAGAAGTCGGAGGAGGCGACTTTGATTATGTTCTCGATGCTCAAGGGGCCGATCAGGGTTTGGAGGTTGGTCAGGGTTTGCGTCACGCAGTTGGTGTTGCCGCTATAAGGTTTGGGTCATTACCATCAGTCCTGTAGTTTATAGGTTGAAAGAAAGAGGGGGGACTCACTCCTTCAAACACACGACCTTACGCGCAGTAGGGTAATACCCCTGAATAACAGCCGTAACCGCCGACGCATCGCCAGCCTGGAACCCAAGCGCCCCCAGCTCCATCGCGCACCCCGTAGTCGCGTTGGTGACGATAGCAGCGAGGGTGGCGTTGCTGCACGAGGGCGCTGCGCAGAGGCTGGTGAGCCAGTTGTTGATGGGGTCGACGATGGATTTGCTCGGGTCCGAGGCGATGGCGAGGAGGGGGGAGGGCGTGAGGCATGCGTTGGCGTCGGGGCTGGTCGCGATGGTTGTTAGGGCTTGGGTGCACGCTGGGGAGAGGTTGAGCCTAGCGGGGTGGGAGCCGTGAGGGTTAGTCGAGGTCGTGGTCGAGGGTGGTGAGGACTTACTGGGCAGCGGCGAAGGAGGCGACAGCAGCGATCGTGAGTGTACGTGCGTACATTATGGAGGCGGGTCAGTCAGTAGGGGGGGGGAGGACAAAAGATGAAGTGGTAGGAGGACGAGTGTGAAGTTTTGTATAGGTCGTTCCGCAGTTATATGGAGCGATTACCAAATCCCGGGCTCAGGGCTATGCAGACCGCAAAACGAGGGTTGCCAAGGTTATGTCTCTGCGTATGCGGTCTCAGGCAACAAGAATGCCGTGCATCGTCGGACTCTATCCCGACGCCTGTTGCTTGGAACGCTTGGAATGCTTGACCTTCCCGACATTGAAAGAATTGGTATCGAAATAACAGCTTGATATCAGCGATATATCGGTGGGCTCGCCGGCGTACATGCGGGGAAGAGTAAAAGTTAAACCGGCCACGAGTCATCCACTTTTCGTCATCAATGATGAGAGCCCTATTTAAGGTCTTTGAGTTAGATTCAGGATGACAGGATCTACGGTCGTGCTGCTGAACCTGCATAGATGTAGTCGATTCAAAACTGTACGTTCTACAAAAATAGGCTGGGTATCCAGCCAACATGATGTTCTCCTATGTTCTCGCTATGGCATCTTCTGTTCCTTATAAAATTTTGAAACCGTCTATTTATAGATCGAGTCGCAGTTAAAGTCTAATTTAAGGCCTGTCCAGGCACTCATATAAGTATCTCAATGTCACGGTTACGCTACGTCTCTGATACTGTACAACAACGGACATTATGAATCTCGACACAAGAAATACACATGGAAGAGGAACAGGTCGATCGTAAAGGTTACTGGGACGGGAAGCTAGTTCCTCGGTCCGTATGTGTTCGATGAGGTCGCGAGACGATGCTTGCCGTAGGAGCGACGGGCATGGCGGGCTGTAGAATTCACAAAATCAGTCGGTCGCATTTCGACATTCGTACGCGCGACCAGCTACATGAATCAGCATTCTCCACCAGCTCCAGCGCGCCAATCCAGCTCGGTACGCTGCCAATCGGCACGCGCGTGTACTTGGCGGACAGTGCGCCCCTATTGTTCAGAGTAGCGAGGAGACTCATGAAAAACACTGGTTAGGATATGATGTGTATGATCAGCGCGGCTCGGAGGGGACTGGGAATGGAGGGGGATGTGTACATTTACCGAAAGAAAGGTAGATGCTTATGTATATGAAGTCCTGGGGTGCGAAGGCGTATGCCACCAGGCACGCTATTGAAGATAGTCTGTTGGGATGTTAATGCTTATTGGCGGAGAATACGCTTTCACGCACGCGCTGAGCGCACCTGCAAGATTTATCAGTATGCTGGAAAAGAAGAAAAATGTTTTTTGCGTAGAGGACGTACAAGTATTGATGGTATACTTCATCAAGACGTTGATCAGACAATTGAACCTGAGAAACGCAAGGTCGTGTCAAACATCTTGACATACATGATTCGACGTAAAATGACACAAATCAAATACCTCGGCAGTCCTGATCGAGTTCTCAACAATGAAACGCAGAGCGAACCTGCTATCAGGATGTCCGAGACGACATCACCAGTCAACCCGATGTAGAGGAGGTACTGGCAGTAATGGAAATTAGAAAGGCAGGTCAAAAGCGGGTTGGCTTACGGATATCTCTGTGTAGTTGCCCATCTTTTGAGTTGGAATCTGATAGGATACGTATGAGGGGGTGAATTTCGTGGCAAGTGTGATCGACGAACGCGCGAGTAGCGCACACTACAGGAAGTTTAGCTCCTCGCATTTCCTCAGGATTTTTGGACAACGTACAGATCCCGATGACTAGTCAGACAATGGAAGAGTTCACTCCTGTGAGTTCTGCAGATGAGTTTAAGGGACGTTACCAAATGTCGCGATTGAAGCCACAGCCTGATGGAGCACACACTCGTCTGAACGCATCGATATCGAGACAAGCGAACTATAGACTCACAATGCAGCCGACAAAGATCTTGTTTCGACCGTCCGCTAGGAGATCCATGAGTCTGAGGATATAAAAAGAAATCCGCCTTGGGAGGATGAACACACATATCCAGATCCTTCTCGCGAAGATTCTGTCATGAGGTTAGTATTGGAACGGAAGTTAGATAGCCATCCACGTACATCCTGATGATGAGGTTGCTGAAACACTATTGAAGAGGTTTCCACCTCGATCAGATCGGCTTGCTCAATGAGGGATATCGACTCACAAAAACGTATATCGGTGTCTACAATAGATAGCCGTTCGCCACGTCATAATCATACAGAGGAAAGTTCACAGCCTGCCAAGTGACGTACGATTATACTCCTATGAGCAGTCAATGGAGTCAGCTTTTGCTTCATCGACTACATACATACACCTTACCAGACCGCATTCTGTATGGCTGTTGCTTGGCCGTAGGTTGAGATGAGATAATAATATAATGCGTGGGACGTAAATGCTATCTGCAGGGTATCCAGGACCCTGTCCCACTTTCAGCGCCAGTGGGTCGCTGAGGCGAAATGGTTGACCGTACCAGAGTAAGAATATCTGCTGTGTGTCAGCCAAGTACGAGTAGCTATGAAGTATGGCCATGGGCGAACGCACCACTAGCCTGAAGCCCCATGAATCTTTTCCCGGGTCCTTCGAATACATGAACGTTTGGGTGCATGTGATGCCGTAAAGTCTATCAGAACATTGGGGTGATTTGGGTCTGTGGTAAGGTGGGGCGGGATGGTTGAGGACTCACAATGCAGCTACAATGTTCCCGACGAACAAGGCACCGAGCGTTCTGTCAAGGTCAAAAGGAATATCCATGATCGATCTATCCAATGCACATATCCAGCCCTTTTGTCGCCATCTACGTCGCCATGGGTTGGAACATCGATCTCAAAGAATCAACACTGCTCCACGGACTGCCCAGTGCCATTTCCTGCTGATGGTCTCGTTTGAGTGACAGGTCGTGCTTCGCACTGCCGTGTAGATCATGAACAAAGATGCCTCCGGTTATCTAGGGAAAGACCGCTGACGCTGAGAGAGTTCCAACGAGACTTGGGCGTTACTGCTTCTATCTTTGTTGGCCACGTATCTTGAGACCCTCAGCCCTCAACAGACCTGGGGTCATCACGCCAGGCACACTTGAAATCGGCATCGTAGTTCGCCTCACAGCCACGCCCTGCTCGCTGACCTGAATTAGGGCTCGCGATAGGTTGTGGAACAGATATGTGAAAGTATGGGGCGCGAGAGCGGGAGGTTCGGGAAATATTCAATATTTAGATTTTAACGTTTAGATGGCGGGACAATAGAGAGGGCGGAAGGTAGAGGGCGTGGGAGCTCGGCTAGAACTCCAACTCTTCAAGTTACCTTGCCTTGACATCATTAACTGCACGCAGTGAACAGCATACTCGATTAAGTATCCCGGCATGCATGTAAATACGTCTTCGTCCCCAACCCTAGTACTTGTAGGCCTGGCACACATATGCTTGGCTAGCTTCCCGGCCTACTTCACACACGGGCTTTCAGGCCAAACATGAACCACATGTAAAGTTCCGCTGGCAGCCTATAGCGTGATAGGAGTACTACTGTCTACATTATCCAACTTGAAGTTATCCGGGAATTGGGATATTAAGCTTTGAATAATGAGTTTGAAGGAAGAAAAAAATGCAACTTTCCGTGTCATTGGGGGCACCGCGGATTGAACGCGGGACCTTCAGAAATCACTGCCAATCCTGACACACCTTCAGTCTGCTGCTCTCCCAACTGAGCTATGCCCCCATGATGCACCGTCCAAGACTTATACCCAGGATGGGCTCGAGTAGGAGTACAAATGTTCATCTCTTCATCTATCATATAAGATGTACACAACGTTCGTTAACCCTGTGCCATCCCCTCTATCACCAGGCGAGACATATCTCTGAAATTCTTCACCTGTCCACAGGCGTACCGGACGTAAGCAGGATCTCTGTCGTACGCAATCTGGGCAGTCTTGATCTGAGGTAGGGCATAAACGCGAATCAGCAAAGGCGGAGTAGGCGGGGGTCAAGGGAAACATACAAGGATATCAGCAGTTAGGCCCTTGATTGGTGACGCCGAGCTTCTAAAGCGATGCATTCGGTAGATCATATTGCCCAGGATCGGGACTGCAGTGTCCGACGTGTTCTGGCGAAGGCAAGATATCGAGGCCTGCAAGTAGGATCGAAAGGTGGTGCTCACATAAAGATCCTCCTGATACGGCCAGTCCTCAGTTCCCGGTTCCACTAATGATTCGCCCTTTGCGATACTCGGGTCTAAAAGCGCCTTCAGTGGATGCGTGAATATGCAAGCCACCTCGCCCTCTTGCGCTTTGAGTTCTTTGAGTAATGATGGTCGTGTCAAGACCGCCACCACTGGCGTCACGACGATCTTGTACAGCGAGATGAACGGCTCCAGCACAGCGACAGTGTGGATATCCGGCGAGTTCAAGGGTAACCCCACTTCCTCATGGGCTTCCCGGTACTATTGAAGATATCAGTCACATGAAACGAATCACGTAGAAAGACGCACAGCCGTCTCGATGAAATCCTCATCAGTAGCATCTACCCTTCCTCCGGGCAAGGCAGTCTGTCCAGGATGAGTCCTCAATGTCTTCGATCGCGTCGTCAACAACACACGAAGTGCGCCGGCCTGCTCATAAAGGAGTATCAAGACGGCTCCAAGTTTAGACTGGGGGTGTAGGGTGCTAAGTGGATGTGCACGTCAGTCCGCAAGACCGAAGCAGGATGGCATGTGACTGACGGACAGGTCGGGTCGTTCGGAGCTGTGTTGGATCAATCGCTGAATGCATGCTTTACACTCTGGAGAGAAGGTGTCCAGGGCGCCCTGTGGGACGGGTGGTACGACGAGGTCGGTCATGGTGGTGGTGGTGGTGGTGGTAGGTGGTGTGGTGGTCCGGAGTCAACCCGTAAATCCAAGTGATCGGACTTTGGGGAAATGTTATCTATAATGATCGGGAGTCGCAGCCGCAATCTCCTGATCGAAACCCCTCTGGTACCGTCTAGCAAACTCAAGGTGAGTAGATAACCCCGCTGAACCATTCAGGCGTCGTTGCAGATCTCCTCTGTAGTTTGCTACTACGGACCGACAGAAAATGACCTTTAGATAGCCTATTTACAGCCGATAGTTTGCCGAACGCCATGATTCTGTGGTCCTAGTCCTATACGCTTTACGCTGGCCCTTACACCACTCTACACAGGGATTACTGGCGCTCGGAAGGCCTGAAGAAGTATGGAATCTACTATAACGCACATCGGAAGGTAGGGGAAATATGCGCCTTCAATTGATGACCGCGGACGGAGTTAGATAGCACGCGCCACAATCGCCACCACACTCAGAGTCGGTCGTGTAACAAAAAGTTACAAAAGACGATCCATTCCAAGGATACAAGGATAATTTTCTCTGCTATCATGAATGCATAGATCAATACCTTTTCATTGTCGCGGCATCCGCACAGGCCTATTTCGAAACCTTCAGAAAACCTTGGATGCCAGATAGCACAGCACAGGTGATAATACAGGTGATAGTGAAAATCGATCAAATGAGTACATATATACAATATCTATGGTATGAAGAGGTCAATGTAAGCGCCAAGTTCCAGGTATTGTCGAGGCCTAAAGGAACAGACACCATCAGGTCAAGTCGATTGCGTCGCCGAGCTGTCGCATACCAGGGTCATTTCTTCAGAATTCCATTTTGGATGTCCCTGCCGGCTCAATCTTCACCCTTTTGTTCGCCTTATCCTGCTTTCGCTGCAAAATCAACAGTTCCTCCTGATAATACTATGGTCAGATAGATTCGACGGGAAAGACGCTCGGTAGTAGTCCCACCTTCAAAGCCTTGATTCTCTGTGCATCCACAACCTCGTCATCCTTGGTAAGATCAATGATATCATCGGCAGTCGCGAAGCGTTTGCGTTTCTTGTCTACAACGATGATACCATTTGCCTGAAGTTGGGCTGTTTGTGCATTTAGGGGTGTTGGGAGGTCGGGTCAGTGATCACATCACCTACCAAGAGGTCGGTATTTGAATATGAAAGTCGCGACCTTCCCAAATTTAACGGTCTCGACAAACTCCACCTTGCATTGCGTCTCAGGTGAGAGCCTTGGCCACACGTAAGGCGGCGCAGAGATCTATAGGCCAGAAGCTTACTTGGAACCGTGTATCATTCCCTTCTTGGAGCGCTCGTGGACCTTGCCCGGTTCAGGGAATACCTTCTTCCACTTCCATCGCGTGGAACTCCCTTTTACACGGCACTGCTGTATCTCCAATTTAATCTCGCCGAGATGCGAGGAAGCTGTGTATAGGTAACGATCGTCTAAATGGACGCTGGTGAGGAGTGGCAGGCACCAACTTGAACATAGAACGACTCAACCTGTCAGGTCTAACTTCGAGAACAAAAATAATCTTTCGGTCGTTTTCGACGTTGTAAAACCCTTGATACAAGAAGTACGGCCGTTCAGATATTTGGCGCTATGTGTTAACGTCCCAGTGTCACCCCTCGTCCCATCCACATATACCCTGCCCGAACTTGTGAACGATCCAAGCGAGTCTTTCCAACATATAGAGAAATTCTACGGGTCCATAATTATTAGTGAAGCACGAGTGTGTTACCGCATTGTAAATGATCACCTTTCCAACTTCTGAGGCAACCCAGCATGTAGCTAGTCTCTTATCCGGGAAGTATTTAATAGCATATTGTGGCTGTTGGACCCCTTCCATACAAATCCAGGCAGAGAAATTATCGAGTTTCATAAGCGTTGTATGTGCGATAGAGTTGCTGCGTTAGTTGCACCATGCAAAGATGGGGACTGGCCCAAGGGGTTGATGATAGGGGTTCGGTGAGACTTAGACATGGCTGTCACAGATCACATGCCCTGTTACGCGTCGCACCCTCGAGTTCAAGCTGGCGCCGCGCCTGCATTTGTGCGGCATGTTAATCGTCTCCTGAAGCAAGACAAGCATAAAGAATCGGAGAAACAGCAGGATATATAGGAGCTCACCGTCAGGACCTTCAAAGTAGCTGCAACTTGTTCATTTTCGTTATCTTTTGACTGATCCTCGTCCTCATCGTCCATGCTGTCAATTGCCGCCACGAGTAATGGATCATGCATACAGAGTATAAACAATAACTAGAATAGAAATAATGGGTGGCTGAGTAGATTAATTACAAGACGTACAACCCGTCCTTGTATCAACCAACTGGTATCATGCAAGGATTCGAAGGTCTACCTGTCCGCTATATGGTAGAGCCCATCGGTAAAAGGAAAGAATAGATGTTACTAATAGTAATAGGGGAAGCATGGTATCGGATGCCCGGATTCTATGGATATGTACCATTAGTAGATCGCAGACGGATCGTGAAATTATCGACGAACCCCATGTTACAAAGTGAGGTCAATAACCTCCCCTGATATGAAAGACGGGCGAGTTTTGGGCTCCGTCTTGACCTTCTTGGCCACCGATTTTGAGCCTTTCTTTGCCAGCTTCGCCTGAATCAGTCGCTGAAGGTAGCGAGGTATTAGAGATCAGGATCCGAGATACAAGAAACAGGAGAAAGTGCAGAAAGTGCTCACCAGTTGGGCCTTAAGCGCCGCTTCGTCTTCCTCCACATTATCTTCCGGCTCGTCCTCGTCGTCCGCGCCGTCCATTTCGCCCGCTTTTCTCTTTCCGCCCTGGTTGTGAACCACCGGTTCGGGAGGTGCGATACCATCTGCCCTGAGCACATCTGTGGTTGTGTTTGGAGAAGTCAACATATACATTGCAATTGGTGGGCTTACCGAGTGACCGGTATTTGAAGGTAAACGTAGCGAGGGTGGAAATGTGCTTGAATGTCGTCATCGTGACTGTCGGCCGTACGGATTCCTGGCCAAACCTATGAAGAATGTAGTCTGGGGTCAGGTTTAACATGAAACAGACGCTCGCTTACTGAACTCGGTGAACCATCGCCTTCTTTGAACGTTCGTGCACCTTCCCATCAACAAGAGGATCGTGTGTCTTCGGCGTTTCCACGCCCGTCGACTCAACGTGTGATAAGCGCAAGACGATGTCGCCCAGGTCTTTCATGTTCTCCGAGTTAAGGTACGTATCATCGTCTAGTTTAAAATATATAGAAATGAGTTTTTGAATAATGAGGAAATGGCTTCAACACACCTGTCAGCTCAATAGGCGCGAACATTAGAGGTCTGCTTGTTGTTGGCGAGGTTACGAGATAATCTCGAGTAACAAGCAGAGTCATACGCTCCTTCATGAGATTCCCTCCAATGCAAACGCCATCGACATCGATGATACCGCTTCTCTCAACAGGGCGTGGTTCTAGAGGTCTCCAGTTCACAGCAAAAGACTGCAGCAGACTCGTCACGAAGGTTCGACTGCAGACTTCAATATTGAATGCTCACCTTTCCTGCTTCCGAAGGAATCCAGCAAGTGGCTGCAGTTGCATTAGCACCCGCGTCAGCGCTGACCTCGTATTCGGGCAGCCTCACGCCATCAACGGTTATGTACACCTCAAAACCGAAAAATTGCATCTGGTGAGCGAGTTTGACGCGTCGTAGATTGGGGGAAAACAGGAGACTGAGATCGAGTTATTTAAGCTGTGTAACAACAATAGCATCTGATGGGCCTCCAACAAAAAAAACCTTTGCAGGGCCGTGGCCGGGCGCGCTGGTTATGGTTGGGAGTAAGGACAAAGACGCGTCACGCCTCTTTAGACGTTTGAGGCCAAGTGTGCTTGAATCAAACGT